TATATATATATGGATATATAGAGTAAGTTAATAAATAATTATTGATTAATCACTTGATATTTTTTTTGAAAACACTTTTTTCGATGTATAAAAAAAATTATTTGATAAAATATGTACAATTATAATTCAATTTGATAAAATATGTACAATTATAATTGAAGATGTAAAAAAAATATCTTATTGTATATGTACTGAGCAATGATTCTGAATAATTAATTTATATACATATATATATATAAATATAATTGTGTATTATCAAACTTCACGGATATTATTACAAATACACAGATGTAATAGAATTACATGTGTAAAAATATCCGCGTTGTATGTTAATTGCAACATTGATAAATATATGTACATAAAACTTACAAAAATTCACACAATTTTTCGATGTTATTTAATACCAATTGTCGTTCTTCACTGGCAGCTCTCTTGCAACTTTCTTGAGCAGCCTTTTCGATTGCTGGACCAACTTCCCTTTCATATCTTTTAAAAATTTTTGATGAAATTAAAGGCATATTAACACATGCCAATATTTTGTTTAGCCCAGAACAGCCATATCCAGCATGTACGGCACCTGTAGCAAATATTTACAAATTAGAAATTTTCTTTTAAGCAATAAAATATAGCTTATTTAAAATTTGTCATGAAAATATTTATAACAAATGCTAATTTTTAAACTTACCAAGTACAACTCCCGTTGTAATATCAGAACGCTTAGTTCTATTATTATTGTTGACTCTATGACATTTTCCAGTTGACACTAGTGTTACTACATTACATTTCGGACAATTTACTTTCAGGGTAGAATGAAACGCTACACGTGTTTCATCAGAAACGTTGTCGAGACAAAGTACCTCATCACATTTACAACATCTTAGATTTTTGCCTAATTCTTTCAAATCCACGAGACGAGGTCCCTCAATTAGGTTAGACTCAGCTGGTTTATTATCATTTTTTGTTGCTTTTTTCTCTCGTAAACTATTTACTATTTTCATCTTCTTATTTAATACTTTCCCGAGAAAAAATTTTTCTATATAATCATATATAATTGTATATAATCATATATGATTATATAGGGAATCACATATATAATTATATAAAATTATATATAACCATATATAATTATATATAATTATACATGATTATATATGGAATTGTATATGAGGTTATATATAATCATATATAATTATATATGACTATATATGGAGCAATATACAGTCAAGCAAGATTATATATTGTTTCATATATAATTATATATAAGTATATATAATCATACATGATTATATATGGAATTGTATATGAGGTTATATATAATCATATATAATTAGATATGACTATATATGGAGCAATATACAGTCAAGCAAGATTATATATTGTTTCATATATAATTATATATAATCATACATGATTATATATGGAATTGTATATGAGGTTATATATAATCATATATAATTATACATAACTATATATGGAGCTATACACAGCCATGCAAGATTATATATAATCATACATGATTATATATGGAACTGTATATGAGGTCATATATAATCATATATAATTATATATGACTATATATGGAGCAATATACAGCCATGCAAGATTATACATAGTCCCATATCTAATTATATATAAGTATATATAATTATATATGCTTATATATAATTAACATATATATAAAAATTTCTTCTCGGATATAATCATACTTGGCTGTTATAACCCCATGTATAATCCATATATATCTATATAT